GTGACCTGCCAGAGGTCCCATATCAAGTAGTGGGGGAGCTAGGATTTGAACCCCGGTCGATTCAACTTGAGAGTCTATGTTCTATGGACTCTAACCTACGGCCCCTGAGAACTGTCCTAAAAGAACAGTGCCTTTGCTTTGCTCACTGCTGGAGGCCCAGGGGCTCGATCCACATTTGTTAACCGTCTGGACTTCCAGCTTCTCTCTGCCTATCAGGTGCTCACCTCGGTTCACTCTGACTTCAGCCTCAAAGCTTGACTGACTCTGGCAGGCAGAGTAACGTTTCAGGACCCTCTTTCCCTCCTCACGACTTCACTGGCTGTACTGTCTGTTGATTCACCCTCAGCTGGCATGGAGCCCCAGACCCATCACACGGCCAATAAATACTCACTGAAGGCGTCTCCTACCTATATCAGAGCTGTTACCACACGCAAAAGTTTGTGATCAAGGAGTATGACAGGACGGCGTCCTAGAAATGGCACTTGACCGAATCAAAAGATTTTTACCTTTTGCGAACTGACTGTGAAAATTTCACAACTCTGGCCTCCAGTGGGCCTCTTCTTTGCAAACATGTGAAAGTTGACTGTCTATGAGGCACTCCACATTTGGTAGGGATTATGTACATATATTATTTAAGATAATTCTATGAGGTAGGTGCAACCCATTGTACCGATAAAGCGTCCAGCTGGAGACTATGTGATTTGCTCCCAGCTAAAATGCTGGAGCGAGGATTCACACCTAAAAGCTTAGCTCTTGCAGACCATGCTGTACTGTCTGTCTCTTTAACATTTTAAACGTATGCCATAGAATAACAACTACCGTGATGATGATTATGGCATGGAATGTAGACTGTGAATTGAAATACTGTTTCCAACTACCTAGGGTCTTGAAATTAAAGTCTGTAAATTCAGCATTCAGTTTTTATAAGCAAAAGCTTCATTGGCCAGAAGCAGTCTCTGACTTTTCTGGAATTAATAAGGGATGCCATGAAAAACAATAACTTCTCATTTTATTTATGTATTTATTTTTTGAATCAGAGTCTCTCTCTGTTGCTCAGGCTGAAGTGTAGTGTCACGATCACGGCTCACCGCGGCCTCAACCTCCTGGATCTCAGGTGATCCTTCGGCCTCAGCCTTTCCAGGAGCTGGGACTACAGCGCACACCACCACACCCAGGTAATTTAAAAAATTTTTTTGTAGAGATGAGGTCTCACTACGTTGCCTAGGCTGGTCTTGAACTCCTGGGCTTAGGCGATCCTCCTTCCTGGGCTTCCCAAAGTGCACGGACTATAGGCGTGAGCCACTGCACCTAAGTCAACAACTTCTCATTTTAGAGATTCAATCGTTTAACAAATATTTGTTGAATATCTGCTACATTCCTTGTCCTGAGCTCAAATGCTGGAAATACAAGCAGTGAGCGAGACTCGGCCTCTGCCCTTACAGAAAGAGTCTAGAGGAAGAAGCAAAAAGTAACCAGGCAACACACTAAGAATGACTGGAGAGAGCGAGAACAGGAGTAAACAGTGCAAAAAAGAGAGTCCATTCCAGCCGTGTGAGCAACAGGTGAGAGAGCCACACACCGGAGAGAATGTTCTGGAACAACCAAGACGGCCCTGCTGATAAAGAACCGTACTGAAGGCTGGATTCGGGTAGTGGGGGATCTTTGCAGGACTTTAAGCACGGAAGGGAAATGCCCTTCTATGCCTTTTTTAAAGATCAGTCTAGCCACAGTGGAATGGACTAGACAGGACCGGAATGCAACCAGGAAAGCCCGAATTGAACCAAGGGACTGTTGGAAATTGTGAGAGCGTAATAAAGGAGGTGGTGACGCGGGAATCGATTCAACACGCATGAAGCAGGGAGAGGCCTGATCATTGATGGAGATGCAGAGGAAGAAGCAGTGTCAAGGGTGTTGCTCAGGGTGTGGTTTTTGATAAATAACTGAATGGACGGGGATGCCCAAAAGAGGAGACCCAAGCAGTCTGGTGGGTTGCCCGTGTGTGGAGTTAACCGGCCGCTGGATTTGGGGGTGTGGAGCGTAGTGGAGCAGGCCGGCCTCGAGGTGGAGGTTTCCTAGTCATCCGCGGACAGGCGCTGCCTGCAGGCGAGGAAGTGGAAGGGCTCACCCAGGTAGAGCTCAAAGCAGAGGGGTAAGTCGGAGCAGCTTCTTGTCGTCGAGAGAAGGCAGGAAAGCCGCGCTCGCAGCAGACCTCAAGACCAAGCCTCGGCCGGGTTCGGTGGCTCAGCCTATAATCCCGCGCTTTGGGAGGCCGAGGTGAGTGGATTGCCTGAGCCCGCGGGTTCGAGACCCGCCTGGGCAACTTGGCGAGACCTCCTCTCTACAATAAATCAAAAAAATCAGCCGGGCGTGGTAGCGCGCGCCAGTAATCCCGGCTCCTCGGAAGGCTGATCGCCGGAGCCCAGCGGGTCGAGGCTGCGGCGGCCGGGAGCGGCCGCTGCCCTCCAGCCTGGGCGACAGAGTGAGACTCCAGCTCAAAAAAGAAAAAAAAAAAAAAAAGAGCAAGCCTCCAGAGGCGTCGGCGCAGATGGGAAGAGGCACCTCCAGGCTCCATTGAAGCGGCACGATGCCTTCACCGAGACGCAAGCGCCAGGGCGCATCGCCGAGGGCGCTGCCCGGCCACCCGTCCGTCCAACGCCCGCCCGTCCGCAGCGAAGAGCCGGGCTCGCCCCGTGACGGCCCCACCCAGGGCGGCCGCGTCCTCTGCCCCGGCGGCTCGTCCAGCGAGG